TTAAACCAAACAATATAATACATAGAAAAGACAGTTAAGATTTGATTTCACGTATAGTGCCTCTACTATTCGCTTAAACGTAATTCCTCTTAGCAAGATTCATCAGACCGACTGATGTAGAAGTCCTGAACATGAAATCAAATCTTTTCTGACTAAAATGAAATCGTAGGCTTCCACGGCCAGAGTCAGAATTATAGTTTATTCGTCTTCCGGGTTTGGACCGTGTCATTTGTGAGTGACCCAAAAGTGGGTTCATCTCGACGTTTCGCTACAATTGTATGTAGCTTCTTCAGGAGAACAAAGAAAAGAAAAAAGAAAACAAAAGAACAGGAAGATGGGTAGTTAGCAACGGTAACTCAGTTACTCAACGCAACCAGAGGCGAATACTAACTACCAAGATGGGCATTTGGTCACAGTAACTCAACTACTCAACGCAGCCAGAGGTGAAAACCAAATGCCAGGACAGGGATTCACGTCCAACAGCTCAGAACACTAACGCGTCGAGAGGCGGGGAGTGAATCCGACGATTACTCCGCTACCGCTCTATTTATAGTCGCGGTGCCTGTCGTGTCGGGACGTATCGGCACACTTCGTGGCGCGAACGTCAAGAAGCGCGCGCTGGCCAATCATGTGGCTGCATCGTGGTGGCGGGACCGGACGGTGGCTCTAGACTGAGATTCCAGATGGGAGACAAGTAGTATCCTTCCTCTCGATTGATATTATGGGGATTTTTTCGGATCTCTAGAGATTCGCGGATTTTCCTGGAATAAAAGAAGGGGCTCTTAGAAATAATATGGGTTTTTTCGAACAATATGGAATGACCGGTTTCTTGGCAGTGTTCGGCAACTGCAGAATGGGAGAAAAGACCTGATCGAATGCATCTTTGATGCTCTTGAATCCGAGTTTTGACGGAACGACCAGTTTCGCCAATATACACATGTCCACATGAACAAGGAATAGAATAGACACCACAGGAAGATAGGGGCGGTAATGAGTCCTTAGGAGAGGGTAGATATTGTGAGATTTTGCCAATCCTATCAGTGACATTTCGAATATACGGAAGAAAAGCCACAGGAGTATTACCGAAGATTCTGAATTTGTTGTCCTAGGTGTAAAGGGGATGTAGATGTCGGTGTGTAATATTTTGAATGTGAACTTGGAGTAACCATTGGCGACAGGTTTTTGCAGATGGCCAAGTTCTTATGTCCGAAATTCCACACATTTCATCACCTTAATCTCCTCTCTCACAGTCGATCCCCAAGATATTCTCGTCAGTTTCGATGTATCATCCCTATTTACCAATATCCCCATACATGACTCTCTAGTTGTTCTGCGAGATCACTTGACCAATGATAACAAGTCTTTGGTTTTGGCAGATCTTGCCGAAAAATGCCTCCTTTCAACATATTTTTCTTTTAGAGGCAATTTCTACAAACAAATATCTGGAACACCAATGGGTTCTCCCCTTTCCCCTGTCATTGCTGACATTTTCATGGAAGCCTTTGAGTCTTTAGCCCTAGAATCTTACCCCTTAAAACCAAAAGTCTGGTTCCGCTACGTTGATGATACATTTATCATCTGGCCCCATGGTCAACATACCCTTTCTTCCTTCCTAGATCATCTTAACTCACAACATCCGAGTATAAAATTCACAATGGAAGTAGAAAATAATCGGTCCCTTCCCTTTCTCGATGTGTTAGTCACCTCCAAGCCCAATGGCCGATTGGGTCACTCTGTTTATAGAAAAAAGACTCACACGAATCGTTACCTACATGCTTCATCACACCACCATCCTGCCCAAAAGAATTCTGTGATCAACTCTCTCATCCATCGGGCCATTTCGATTTCTGAACCCGACAACCTTAGAGAAGAACTTGGCCATCTGCAAAAAACCCTTGTCGCCAATGGTTACTCCAAGTCCACAATTCAAAATATTACACACCGACATCTACATCCCCCTTTACACCCTAGGACAACAAATTCAGAATCTTCGGGTAATACTCCTGTGGCTTTTCTTCCGTATATTCGAAATGTCACTGATAGGATTGGCAAAATTCTTCGCAAAGAAGGTATCAGGACTACTTTTCGACCACCCAAGAAAATCTCACAATATCTACCCTCTCCTAAGGACCCATTACCGCCCCTATCTTCCTGTGGTGTCTATTCTATTCCTTGTTCATGTGGACATGTGTATATTGGCGAAACTGGTCGTTCCGTCAAAACTCGGATTCAAGAGCATCAAAGATGCATTCGATCAGGTCTTTTCTCCCATTCTGCAGTTGCCGAACACTGCCAAGAAACCGGTCATTCCATATTGTTCGAAAAAACCCATATTATTTCTAAGAGCCCCTTCTTTTATTCCAGGAAAATCCGCGAATCTCTAGAGATCCGAAAAAATCCCCATAATATCAATCGAGAGGAAGGATACTACTTGTCTCCCATCTGGAATCTCAGTCTAGAGCCACCGTCCGGTCCCGCACCACGATGCAGCCACATGATTGGCCAGCGCGCGCTTCTTGACGTTCGCGCCACGAAGTGTGCCGATACGTCCCGACACGACAGGCACCGCGACTATAAATAGAGCGGTAGCGGAGTAATCGTCGGATTCACTCCCGCCTCTCGACGCGTTAGTGTTCTGAGCTGTTGGACGTGAATCCCTGTCCTGGCATTTGGTTTTCACCTCTGGCTGCGTTGAGTAGTTGAGTTACTGTGACCAAATGCCCATCTTGGTAGTTAGTATTCGCCTCTGGTTGCGTTGAGTAACTGAGTTACCGTTGCTAACTACCCATCTTCCTGTTCTTTTGTTTTCTTTTTCTTTTCTTTGTTCTCCTGAAGAAGCTACATCCAATTGTAGCGAAACGTCGAGATGAACCCACTTTTGGGTCACTCACAAATGACACGGTCCAAACCCGGAAGACGAATAAACTACTTTTCTGACTAAATAACTTTATACAGACGTTATCTGAGAATAAAACCAAAAATTTAGAAAACGAAAGATTTCTAAGTGTTCGAAACCAAATTCAGATTAATACCTAAATCTGTGCCTTTCGCCAAGGTAACCAATCACGACAAAGATTGTTACTTTGGCCGGCCAATCACAGAGCTCGTTATTAACTGCGCTGTCATTGGCCTCTCGACGGAAGATCGCCGCGAATTCTCAAACACTAAGTGAATAAAAGAGCAGTACATCTTCCGATCGGATCTTGGTCATTATATACTACTAGCCCCCTAGACCTTGTTGGCCTGGTGTGCTACCAAGTACCTTTGAGTTTTATTATTAACCAAATAACCTAGTATCGTTGAAAAACGTCAAATATAAGAAGACTTCATCCATTTTAAGAAGATAAACTTGAGAGCACGGAACCGGCTTCATTTCTCGTAACTCCTTGTTTTATGCTTTTAATTTGTAACCTTTCCGTCTTGTATATGGAGTTAAAAAGGTCTACCAAGACATCAATATTATCTTCATTAATTATCTTCAATAGTTCAATTGGTATTTCATCGGGTCCTGGAGCTTTTCTGCCTTTTGTGTGTTTTATAGCATACATAACTTCCTCTTTCATTATTTCTGGTCCCGTGGTTTCTCCGTTAACTTCTAATAATTGTTCTACTTTTTGGTCATAAAATAGTTGTTCAATGTATTCTTTCCATCTACGTAGTTTGTCTTGCGTTTCAGTTATAGTGGTACCATCTGCATTTTTTAATATCCCGATTGGTTTGTTACGATTTTCTGAAATCATTTCTTTAACCTTCTTATGGGTGTTGAAAGTGTCATACCTTGCCTCACATTCCTCGATTTCTTGACATTGCAGTTTAATGGACATCCATGTTTCCTTAGCTTGTATTATTTTCTGTTTTATTTGTTTATTAATTTCTTGATATTTAATTTTATCTTTGTTTTTATGTGTTCTTCTTTCGTCCATCTCTTCGAGAATTCCTTGTGTCATCCATTCTTGTTTGGCAGCTTTTGTAAATGTTAAAGTTTTCTGTCCCACAGTCTCGATTGCGTTCTTTATATTCTTCCACTTTGTGTCAATATCTGTAGTGTTCTTATTTTGTTGTTTTATTTCTTGGATACTCTGATTTATTTTGTTTTGAGTTTCTTGGTATGTATTTGGTTCTCTTAACTTATCAATGCATATTTGTGGTCTAGATCTTTTCATTAATGGTTTTTTCAATCTTACATTCATATTTGCTACTACTGGGTTGTGGTCCGAGTTTACATCTGCTCCAGGGTAAGTCTTCACTACTGTAATAGAGTTCTTGTACCTGTTCCTTATCAAGATGCAATCTATCTGATTTCTTATGATTCTTAAGAATTTCCATAAAAATTACCTAATGTGTTTTGCCAAACTTTGTGGCAAATGTGTGTTTTGCAGAGATATATTCTGAGAAAAAATTGGAAAAAACAATGAAGAAAAAAAAATAAAACACCGTAAGGTCGCATAATCATAACAATTAAACAGATATATGCTTTTGTATATTAAACATAACCTAAAATAATTGAAAAATAGCAAGGATGTTTTTGTTTTAAGGTTTAATTGTTTCGTTAAAAGATTTCTAACTGTGGGTGGTCTGTATACTTATTTAAACTTAATACGCTAATCTCTTTTGAAGTACCTAAAATAGTTAATATCAAAAATACTTTAATTCTGATTTTTCTTTTTTTTTAATTATTGCCAAAAAAAAAGGAAATGTTCTTATTAATATTTCAATAATATTGATAGTTCTACATTTTCTGTTTCTTTCTCGAAAACTAAATATAAATAAATATAATGGTGAGATAAATAACCGTGTGGTTTTAATTCAAAATATTCAATAGATAAACAGAATAGAACAGAAAAATCAACAAAAAATACTGAAGGCAAATACCAATCACTCAGGTGTAAATATAATATTTCAGAATTCACGCTACAGTTTATATTCTTACATCCAGTAAAATCATTACAGTATTTTTGATTTAAACTTCTCAGATTTATCTAAATAAAAACGTTTCTCACCCTCAACATTGACTTCAATATCCTCTAGCCGTCCAGGATGATTAATCAACAGCGTACTGGGTCTATGTACTGGTCCAGGACCCGGTAACGTAACACTAGGTCCCGTCCCACTTCCCCCAACATTAACTATTAAAGGACAACCCACTACAGGTCGTTTGTTGAACGCGACGTTCACTACATGATCGCATGCTTCAGCGGGAACGAAGCTGACAGCGAATCTAGCGTTGCCTTGAGGATGAACTTGCGTGGGGATGTTCAAACCTCTAGCTGAGATGGTTATTTCTAGGTTTCCTTCACCCGCTTCGGAAGCGTCCACTGAGAAAGTAACTGGTCGACCGACAGTGCCTCTGGCAACTGTTCCAACTGTAACTTTGTTGGAATCGAAGGATTTCGCGATGAACGGAGTACCTTGTACAGGTCTGCCGTTGTAATCCACGCTAATCTGATGAGCTCCAACTTGAGTAGGCGTGAATTCAGCTGTAAATCCAGAATGGATATCTCCAGTAACTTTGACCGGGAGTTCTCCGACTGGTCCCCTGACAGCTACTGCTAGTTCAGCAGCTCCTCCACCCGCCACACCCATATGGAACGAGCTGGGTTGGTTGACGGGAATGAGCTCTAAATGAGACAGCGATAATGTCACTCGACTAGTGTCTGAAACGGCACACACGAAGGGGCATCCTCGGACGGTTTCGCCGTTAAATTTAATGTCTATAAGGTGGGGTTTTGCTTGATCTGGGGTAAAAGATACTAAACATCTTCCTCCTCCGACAACTTGGACGTGATTTGGTACTTCGCCTTCGTTTATCGAAATCTCTAGCTGACCTTCGCCCGCTTGGCTAGCATCCACTGAAAGAAAAACGGATCTATTAGTAAATTATAAAGTAATTTGTTTATATAATAAAGAATATCTGATAATATTTATTTATATCTTATTACCTTTTTTTTCTTTTCGAAGAAGCGTTTATGTTGAAAATTAAAGCATTTCTTTTATTACAAATACAGCACAAAGTAAAGAGCTACAAGTTAGACTTAAAAGAAAATCGGAATTAGGGCAAAAAATATAAATAGATCTAATTTGGTGATCTGAAATATTTTGGTTTGTCTCAAGTTTGATTTGATTTGTAGATGAAGTTCTGAAGTTCTTCCTGTTTGTCCGATGTGGACATTTGGAGTTAATTTTTAAAGACTAATTTGTGAATATTTCTTAATTATTATTTTGTAATTATTTATACATCTACGTGAAGAACTGTTTATGCAAAAAAGCAGTTAAATTACTTTAATAAATTTATCTCCCAATAGTTCATTAGCAGAATATATATGGAACCAGTGTTATCTAAGAAAGGATTAATGCTATGAAGACACTTGTCATAAATTAGCGAATAATATTTGTGAATATTTAGCAAAAACTATTTAATTTGTTGCATTTTATTTTTACTTGAGATTTTGGTACTAAAATGAGAAATAATATCAGATATTACGTAAACTATTGGTGATTTATAGTATTGGAATGTTTTTTCAGATAGTCTATTGTTTTATACATTCCTTCGTCCCAATTTAAATAGCAGAGGGGCACCCTCATGGTAATATTGTCATTCAGGAATGATAACATTTGCTTAACTGAATATTATTATAGAATATAGTACATACTGGTCTTCTAATTCAAAGCAAACATAATTAATGTATTAATTGCTGTCACTGATGCTTGAATTTCATAGATAATGTAGAAAAGTAGGACTAAAAATTAATATCTATATACAGAAGGCAATGATAAGCACAGAGGAAAAGCCTCGATCACTATTGGACATAATCCAATAGAATGAACAGAGGCGTACTCACTATTTATTTTGTCATTGGCGTAAATGGAAGTGAAAAAATTGGCGTAAAGATCAAAAAATGAGTTTTGATCGATATTAATCAGTAATGATAAACTGATAAGCAGTTGCAAACGCATAGTTTGGAATCTGCCAAAGTAGCCAGAAGCCTATATAAAAAATATAGCCAAGAGACAGAAACGCAACAACAGATAAACAGGATATTCTCTGAAAATAACTACAGAGGTTTATAAAGACCTACACCAGCCAAAGAATACATTTCCTGGCACGAGTAAGGACTCTCATAAATCTGGGATTTGAAGTAATTTTACCCATTACAGTGGTAGAAGTGAGAGCAGCTTAAAAAGAAATAAAGAATCATCGATAGGCTGGTGATGATGAACTCGTTCTCGTTATTGAGTCATTAAAATCAGGAGAAATTCTACTAAAATCAGTAAGAGAACTGTTTACCAAATGCTTACATGGGACTACGATTCCAAACGACTGGAAAAATACAGCGATAGATAGTATTGATACACAAAAAAGGTAATATTACAAAATTAAAAAATTATAGACCTATCAGCCACTTGACACATAATATACAAACCCTTTATGAAAATCCTAACGATGACACTAACACCTAAACTTAATTTCTATCAGTCCAAAGAACATGAGGCTGCAGAGCAAGATATGGCACAAATGACCATTTGCTCACCATAAACATAATTTAAAAAACGCATCGAGTAGCGAGAAACTGGCTAGAAGCAACCCAGTGTAGAAAAGATTGAAAGAAACTGAGGGAGACATATGTCCAGCAGTAAACACAATTGGCTGAATAATTAATCAGAAATGGAGAAAGAGTATTTAAATATGGAAAGAAATGGACAAAAGAATAATATTATTGTAAGTCAGAAACCAGATAGACTTCATTCTTATAAACGGTAGATTCAGCACAACTGTCAAAAGAGCTTGCACATACCCTGGAGCAGATGTCCCTTCTGACCACGTACTATTAGTGGCCGTCATAAAGATCGCTCTTTCATGCAAGAACAAGCCTGAAACTCAACAACAGGTAGCACTGGATAAACTGAAAGACCCAGTGATACAAGCAGAAATAAGCAATGAAATAAACGCACAAATTCAAATATTAACGACAAACATTACCGAAGATCTAACACCAACATGGAATACGATTACAAGTGCTGTAACAGACGTCATGAAAAACAACTTAGGGTACAAACGAAATAACAAGAGACAAAAATGGATGACAGAAGAAATACTATTACTAATGGAAGAACGACGAAGACACAAGAATAACCAAGATGGCAGCAATATGTATGAAAACATTAACAGGCAAATAAAAGCAAAAATAAGAATAGCAAAAAATGAATGGCTTAAGCAACAATGTACCGATCTAGAACATTTACAACGACAGCACGACGACCGTAATTTACATAAAAAGCTTAAGGAGACTGCTGGAATATACAGAAAACGAAGACCAACTACCATAGTTAATCAGGATAACCAGATAGTGCTGGGTGAAAAGGAGAAAATTGATATATGGGAAAATTATATCCAGGAGCTCTTCCATGACGAAAGACCCATGAGTGAAGTTTATACAGACGACCAGCTGACTGGCCCTTCAATCACCAAAGAGGAGATAGAAAAAGCAATATTAAATTCAAAAAACAATAAGGCACCTGGACCAGATGAGATCCCGTCAGAAATACTCAAATTACTAGATGAAAGGGGAATTTCAGCACTACACAAAATATTTAATTTAATTTATGAAACTGGCTGCTATCCTCAACAGTGGTTACGCTCTACCTTTATTCCCCTGCCCAAGAAAGTCAATGCAAAAAGATGTGAGGATCACAGACTCATTAGCCTGATGAGTCACACTTTAAAGATATTCTTAAAAATACTACATCAAAGATTATACAAAAAATGTGAATGGGACATCAGTGATTCCCAGTTCGGGTTTAGGCAAGGTTTAGGAACACGAGAAGCAATAGTAGCAACACAGGTGCTGGTCCAAAATTGTTACGATCAGAGGAAGGATGTGTTCCTATGCTTTTTAGATTACCAAAAAGCGTTTGATCGTGTCCAACACCACAAGTTAATGCAGATTCTCAAGAAAGTTGATATAGACCAAAAAGACATAAGATGCATTGAAAACTTGTACTGGCATCAAACGGCACAGCTAAAAATAGACAATTCTATATCCAAGCCCATACATATAAGAAGAGGCGTTCGACAGGGATGTGTGCTTTCCCCTCTTTTATTTAACATTTATTCGGAAGCCATATTTCAAGAGTCTTTGGAGGATGCAGAGATGGGAATCAAGGTGAATGGAGTATTGATCAACAACATACGATATGCTGATGATGGTGTCTTAATTTGTGACAACATAGTCGATCTTCAACAACTTGTCACTATAATCGGAGAATACAGTGAGCGAATGGGATTAGAGATTAATACCAAAAAGACCAAATTCATGATCATCTCCAGAAACTTGGATGCACTTGAAAACTCCACCATAACACTGAATAGTAAATCCATAGAAAGAGTGAGTAAATTTAAATACCTGGGATCGTGGCTTTTTGAAGACTGGGCATCGGACAGGGAAGTAAAATGTCGCATTGAGCAAGCTCGACAAGCTTTCGTAAAATTCAAGAAGGTACTGACTTGTTCAGAGTTCGATCTTCAACTGAGACTAAGGTTTACTAAGTGCTACGTATGGTCAGTGCTGCTATATGGCGTAGAGGGCTGGACACTCAAAACGAGGGATATAAACAGATTAGAAGCTTTCGAAATGTGGCTTTATCGCCGTATCCTAAAAATACCATGGACAGCGAAAATCACAAATATAGATGTCCTTAAAAGAATAAACCAAGAACGCCAACTTTTCGAAACCATCAAGAAAAGGAAAACGGCGTATCTAGGTCACATCATGCGAAATGAAAAATACCAGTTCCTCCAACTTATAATCGAGGGTAAAATTGAAGGCAAGAGAGGAATGGGACGCAAGAAAATGTCCTGGCTCCGAAACATAAGGCAATGGACAGGGATTAACGACATACAATCTCTGATACATATTGCAAGAAATAGAGAATTAATGGAAAATGTGATCGCTAACATCCATTAGTGGATTTGCATCTGAAGAAGAAGAAGAAGTCAGAAACAATAGTCCTAATTAAAATACTCTCATAGACTGGTATGGTCATGGTCACGAAGGAGAACTATTTAAAAAAAAATGATGATTTGTATAGGAAGAATAAATAAAAAGAAGGAAATCTAAATTTACGTGACTTAAATGACAGAAATTAAAATACCATGAATAGTAAAGCACATCCGCACATTTTTTTTTAATTTCAAGATGGTAGAAGTCGATGGCAAATTACAGAAAAACAAGCTACCACAAGGAAGTATACTAGCCCCAACTTTTTTCAATTTTTATATTAACAATCAGCCACTACCGAACAATACCACAAACTTCATCAACGCTATGGACAGAACATCAACGCTGTTGAATTGACCATTACAGCAGTCATGAAGAGGGTCGAACAATAGTATGGCGAGAATCACCTCAAACCAAATCCAATAAGAATCCAAGTAGGTACGAGTACCTTCCACCTTCACAATTAATATGCGTCTGTACAATTTCCAGTCGGATATTAGGTTTAAAAATAAGTGAAACCGTGGATTCATAGACGAATGCTGAAGATACCTTGGACAGCAAGAAAAACTAATAATTAAGTACTAAGGAAGGTCAACAAAGATAAAGAAGTGCTAAAGACTGGTAAACAACGGAAAATGTATTATCAGAAACACCTAGTAGCGGAAATCGATATATAATATGACAAGTAATCCTTAAAGGCAAAATAGAAGGCCGTAGAAATGTAGGAAGAAACATCTTTCTTGTTTAAAAACATTCGTGAGTGGACTCAGATATCAAATGCGGGACAATTATTCCTTACTATTTAACTGGGAATAAGCCACAATTAAAGATAAAAATACGTTTATATTGACGTT